CTGCCTTTTGTTCTTTTTTTTGTGGTGAGTTTTTTTCCTTGTCATTTTGTCCAGATAAGAATATATGAAGGAGCAAATGAAATACTAAAAGGGGGCAAAGACCCCAGGAAAATGTGCTTTAACCAAATCAGAAGAAACCCCAAATTGTGGGGGGGTGGGGGTGGGGAGAAAGTGGATAAAAAGAAGTTCAGAAAAAAAAATTAAAACAAAAAAATATAAAAAAGAAAATATATATATGTATTAGACTGGTGACTAGAACAGGGTCATCCACTTAATTTTGGGAGTATTTTGGTCTCTTAGAAGAAACTACCTCCCAAAATTTTAAAGAATAAAAAACATATATAAGGGTAAACACAATGAAGGGATGGAATATACCTATAAAGATGAAAAAAAAATTTTTTTTAATTTCTAAAAAAGGAGTTGATTAAGTTGGTTGGGAGAATAAAGAAAAAGAAAGTGGAGAGAATTTGCTCAGGCTGGAGACTAGAACAAGCCTGCAGCTAGGTTTAGGGTATATTTTGATCTATTAGAAGAAGTTGTACCCCAAATTTTTTAGAAGAAAAAACCCTATGTGTATACAAAAAATAAAGTTAGATACAATGAAGGTTAAAATATAATAAAGGTTCAAAAAAGATTATTTTTTTATGAAAGGTATTGTTAAGATAAACTAGCTAAAAAACATTAAAAGAGGAAAGGGTAAAAGTTTAAAAATTAGCAGAAGAAAAAATATAAAATTAAAAAAATTAATTAACTGCAAGACTAAAGTATCATGGGGAGAAAGCCATGAATTCCATGCTTTGCTTTCTCCTCCTCTGGAATTCCGCTGTTCTCCTTGGTAAGTGAACTTGGTCCTGGCTGGGCTTCTTGTTGATCTTCTGGGGGAGGGGCCTGTTGTAGTGATTCTCAAGTGTCTTTGCCCCGGGCGGAGTTGCACCGCCCTTACCAGGGGCCGGGCTGAGTAATCCGCTCGGGTTTGCTTTCGGGAGCTTTTGTTCCCTGAGCGCTTTCCGTAGAGTTCCGGAGGGCGGGAATGAAGATGGCGGCCTCCCAGTCTCCGGCCTGGAGGAGCAGAGAGCTCGGGGCCCCACTCCTCAGTGCGCCCTCAGAGAAAAGCGCTCAATCACTCCCGTCACCCTGGCCTCAGGCCGCGCTCCGAGCTGACCGAGCCTGCGGCCGGTTCAAGGTAATCCCGAGCTTAGAGCTTACTCCTCGGCTCTGTCTCTGTAGCCGGCTTCCCCGCTCTAAGACCTGTGAGCTCTCTGACACTCAGACACCCCAGATCCTTCTGTGCCCCCGCGGGACCTCGGGCCACGCTGACCCTGCGTGGTCTTCACACCCATTTAGTCTCTGGAGCGATGTCCCTCAGCGGAACAGACTTTTAAAAGTCCTGATTTTGTGCTCCGTTGCTCCGCCGCTTGCCGGGAGCCGGCCCCTCCCCCCGCGGTCTATCTTCCCATCGCTTTGAATTCACTACTCTGCCCGTCCTACCTTTCAGAAAGTGGTTGATTTTCTGTTTTTGGAATTGTTGTTGTTCTTCTCTTCAATCTCCCTTTGGATTTGTAGGTGTTCGCAATGGTTTGATAAGCTATCTAGCTGATCTCTTGCTACCTGATGTCGTCTCAGCCTGCTACTTCTCTGCCATCTTCTGTAATCCTTCCATTTCAGTATTTTGAGTGTATCACACCACTCCTTTCCGGCCTGCAACCTTTTTGCTGAAAAATCAGCTGATAGCCTTGTGTGGTTTCTTGCTGCTTTTAAAATCTCTATCTCTATTTTTTGCCATTTTAATTATGTGTCATGGTGTGGACCTTCTTGGGTTGATTTCATTAGGATCTTTCTGTGCTTTTTGGACCTAGATATCTGTTTCCTTCTCTAGACTCAAAGTTTTCAGTTTACTATTCAAATAAATTTTCTGCCCTGTTTCCGCTCTTCTCCTTCTGAGATCCCTATAATGTGAATGTTAGTAAACTTGATGGTGTGGCTAAGATCCCTAAGTCTATATTCATTTTGTATCATTTTTTTCTCTTCCTCCTGTTCACCTTGATTGCTTTCCATTACTCTGTCCTCCAAGTCACTGTTTTTCTGTTTCCTCTAGTCTCTTTATTCCATCTAGTGTATTTTTATTTCATTTATTGAGTTTATCTCTATTTTTTTATGTTTTTGTCTCATGGTTAAGGGTCTCACCGATGTCCTCCACTCTTTTCTCATATCCACTGAGTTTATGGTCAGTACTTTACATTCTCCTTCAGGCATATTATCTCCATTTCACTTAGGTCTCTGGCTGTGATTTTATCCTATTCTCCCATGTGGGATGTGTTCCTTCATCTCATTTGTCTCTGTTTCTATGTATTAGGAAAATCAGCTCTTCTGCTCCTGAAAGTAGTGACCCTATGAAAAAGAAGTCCTATAGTGTCCTGCAGTGCAGTGTCCCCTGTTCACCAGAACCCGGCACTTCACGGGTGTGTCCTGTTTGTGTTGAATGCACCCTGCTGTTGTGACTGAGCCACTTTTTCCTTCAGTCCAGTCATTGCACTGGCTCTCTTTGCCTGTTGTCAGCCGTGGTTTGGTCCTTGTGCTGTTAGTGAGCCAGTCTTGGGCCACCTTGGGCTTAAGTCAGACCAGGCATTTGCCAGAAATATAGTAACACTGAACTCAGGGCACTTTCACTCTTTTGTCTCCTGAGAAGTATTTGTTCATTGTTGAGCAGGGCCTGCAGTCAGACCAGATGTCTGCCCTCAGCACACTGCTGGAGCTGGAGCTGGACTGGTGTGTATGTGGTTCTTTCCCCTTTCCCAGGGGCAGACATCACCTTGGAAGTGGTGCTGGCCTCCGGCAGAGCTGCTTGTACACAGCCAAGCTTACGGCTTTGCCTGGGATGGGCTCCACCCCAGGGTGGGGGGGCAGATCTGCTGAAGTACACAGGGGCTGGATGTGTGATGTGAGCAAGATTTGTCCTGGTCTGCTGTGGGAGAGACCTGCAGCCACCAGAACAAAGACAGGCCAAGTTGGAGAGGATGGATCCGCCTAAGTGCAGGATGTGGGGTTGGGGTGGGGGGGGTTGCTGGGCAAGATGCACAGTATTAGCAAGTTATGTAGGGATTGTCCTTGCTGCTCTGGTTCCCACAGATAACTATGTTTATACTGGAGAACAAGGGAGGGAAATGGCACCTGCCTGTTCCTGTGTTCCTGGAGAAGTCTGCCAAGTATCCCTGCCTCTCCAGTACATGCCCTGAAGTTAGTAAACAAGTATAGTTCAGGCATTTTTTCAAACTGCTGCTCCTTTGCTGTATCTTCATGGGCCTGTTTGTTGTGCTCCTTAAGAGAAAATGAATCTCTCCAGGCTCTCCCAGAGCCAATCCTGCTGATTTTTAAAGTTCTAGGTTTTAAGACCCATTGACTGTAAGAATTCATGAAATTTGGCCTTTCTTATTTTCAAAGGCAAATTCATCTTCCCCGTGCAGGCTTCCTACTGTGAGGGTCTGTTTCTCCCTCTTCTCTACCCCTATGTGTCCCTCCCCTCTGCTAGCAGTCCAGTAGTCCATGGAGCACCCAATAGTAGTCTTACCCTGTTAGATGTGGTCTCTTCTCTATATTTAGCTATGGAGAATCTGTTCTGCCAATCTATGGGTCATTTTCTGAGTTACTTACACTGAGGTGGCGATCATCTAGTTCTATCTGTGGGACGATGAATTTAGAGTCCTCATAATCTGCCATCTTCCCTGGAAGTCCCTGGAATTAATTTTTTAAAGTCATCTTTGTATTTGTCTCCCATCCTCCCGTAAATTTATGAATCTGTCCCCTCCTCCTTTCTACCTTAATTTGGGTCTTTGTCATTACTCACCAAGCAATTTCACCACCTTTCTAGCTTTTCTTCCTGTGTTGTATTATTGTTCCCCACGGGATAACTCACACCACCACCAGGATCTTTTAAAACCCACCTCTAACCCTGATATCTCTCTGTTTTAAACCCTTCAGTGGTTCTTCATTGCTCCAAGATTAAATCCAGACTTCATCCCAATGTGTCTTTTCAGCAGACCCCCCAATCCAGCTCCTCCAAAACATATCACATAGCCTTTTAGCCACTCTCAGGCTGGTCAGAGAGTTGCAAGGGACAAATCTGTCTGTCCTAAATTGGAAAAGCAAACAAACAAAAAAATGACAATTATGGCTAGAATGTGGACTCTCAAAGTTGGAGAGAAAATTGAGGGGGGTGTGTGTGTGTGTGTGTGTGTGTGTGTGTGTGTGTGTGTGTGCGTGCGCTTACATGCGTGCGTGTGAAAGAAAACCAGTGGGCCCCGGCAAACCAGAAGTGTGTGTGTGAGAGAGCAAGAGAGAGAGAGAGAGAGAGAGAGAACGAACCATGGGCACTGACAAACCAGAAACCTTGCAGCAGTCAATCCAAGGATGGGATAAGGCCAGGAATTTGGAAAGAGCTATATGGAGGCAGACAGGATAGATTCAAAGAGCTGCACTTGAGGTCAAGTACAAATGCACGCATTCAACATTTTTTGGAACCATAAGACAACAGATACTCATGTCTATAATATACTGAGATGATTTTCATGATACCAAACCAGAAAATTTAAAAATTATGTCAAACAATACAGATATATTGAACTAATCAGTTCTTCACAAAACTTTCATTTTCATGCAGGCACCATAGGTGTTTTCCATATGAATAGGTAAGATTGTTTCACACCACATACAGAGACAATTAGAACAATTAGTTTGCTTCTTGGGACACCTGTGTGGCTGTTGGGTTAAAGCATCTGACTCTTGATTTCAGCTCAGGTCATGATCTCAGTGTCATAGATCAAGTCCCATGTAGGGCTCCTTGCTCAGCGTGGGCCATACTTGAGATTCTCTCCCTCTGCCTCTCCCTCCACTTGAGCTTGCTCACACTCTCTCTCTCTAAAATAAATAACTAGAATCTTTAAAATTAGTTTGCTTCTTGTCTTTAATTTCCCATGGCTACTTACAATTTTTCTTTTCCATTTCAGTATTTCCATACAGAAGCTTTCCAATGAATCTCGGTACATTATTTATGAGTTTTGGGAGAACAGCAGTGTGTGGAATAGGTAAGTAACACCAGGCTTTTTTGGGGGGTGGGGCAAGGAGGGGGAAATATACATGATGTTTTTAGAACTTGTAGGAAAAGCTCTGTTCCCTTTACCTCACCTCAAAATCTATCCCATTTGTTCGTTTTCCTAAATCCCACCCTTTTAAGAATTTATTTCATGGATTAGAAACCCTTCTCTTCTTGAAGCACAAATACTTTTGGTAATGATCCTCCTTGAAGTATAACCACTTTACTGATGCTGTCAAGTAAGAGTTAGATATGGGTCGTGGGTGTCTTAAGTGCCAGGAGGTTGGGAGGACAAAGGACACAGAAAAGGAAAGATGAGAAAATAATTTTACTTTCTAATTTTTCATAAACTTTGTGGCATTTTACTTTACAGTAAAACTATAACAGTTAACACCATCATGGCTTAATTTTTCTAAATATCTTTAAACTGCAAAAAAATTAAAAAATCAACTTCTCTTGGTAACCATTCTATAGTGTATAATGTATATCAAACCATATTGTACATGTTGAATGTAGATATTTGTCACTTCTCAACAAAGTTAAACCAATACACCTCTTTTAAATTAAGATAATTACAAATAGGTAACATACAATTGGAAAAATGGGATGAAGAAAATTATTGCTATTGAGATTATATAGTACTAGTTCGTTTTAAATGGCAGAGAATACAGCCCTCTAGTAAGCCCATATTTAAGGTTTTAAATATGGTAATGAAAGTAATAGAATACCTGGAAATTTAGTTATACATATTTCACCTAAAAGTTTTATTTCTGTGACTATTTTAAAACTATAATATATAATGACACCAATAGAATTTTAAACACAGAAGGGAGCTTTAAAGCCAACTTAATTCTGTACTCTAGGCCTACACTTTGAGATAGATGATTTTTCTTTTTTTCCCTAGAGAGAGAAAAATCTATAGTCTTTCTTCTTAGCTATCCTATTTTGAAATCATTCTGACAGCCAATATATTCTTTTTTCTGTTTAAGCTACTTTCTGCAATTAAAGTCTTTCTCCTTTTATTTTCCATGGGAATTAATGTTCTTATTCTTATTAATTACATTTATATATAATTATTAATATATTACAATCTTATTATATATTCTTATTATTGAAATTTTTTGTTTTTTAAGGCCAAATAACCATAAAAAGTCTATATTCAGACACTTAATCCAAATCATCCAAAACCTTGCCACCGTGACTGAATTCGATCTGTTGCACTCTACTTAGATTATGAAAGAAGCACACAGCCTTAACCTGTAATTATTTATACAGCCACCTTCAGACGAATTATAGCAAGACATTCCAAAGAAGCAACGTGGACTTCTTGGAAACTCCAGAACTCACATCTACTATGCTGGTTCCTGGTAATTATCCTGATTTCAGTGCTTATATGCTTTTGTATTGTCTTTTGCTTTTAAAAGATGTATTTCTTACCCCCAAACTTGATCAGTGGTGCTCTCTTTATTAGATCTTAAAATCTAAAAGTGGGGGGGGGAGGAAATAGATCTATATAGTCTATTGCCTTTACTACTTAGTTGATCCTATTTGTATTCCTGGCTATATTAAACCTAGTATTAGTCATTTTTTTCTAGTCACATATAGTAAGTAATCTCACAAACTTGGAGTCAAATCATGACATGTCCAAAAAAATTTATTCAAATGTTTTACCATATTATAATTTAGTGTACTGAATAAATTTGAAATGTGTGACCCATAGATTGCAGATTAGAATTATGCTGGAAAATTTTTTTTAATTTTTTATTTATTTGACAGACAGAGATCACAAGCAGGCAGAGAGGCAGGCAGGGAGAGAGAGGAGGAAGCAGGCTCCCTGCTGAGCAGGGAGCCCGACGCGGGGCCCGATCCCAGGACCCCGGGACCATGACCTGAACCGAAGGCAGAGGCCCTAACCCACTGAGCCACCCAGGCGCCCCTGCTGGAAATATTTTTAATAGCTATTAAAATATTATTTGTAATTGGAGGAAAGCAGAATGGAAAGAGAAAATTGAAACTGTCTAAGAAGTTTCACCTAGCCATGGCTTAAGAAAATTGAGAACCAAAATTCATTTGTTCATCTACCCTTCCAGTCACCAATTAAATATATTTACTGAGTGTTTTATGGGTTAGGTACTGAGGATACTGGGATGCTTAGCTTTACTAGTGCTAGTTCCAATTTTGAGTAAACATTATGTTAGGAGCTAGAGAGAGTGCAAAGTAAAAATTCAGTCCCTTCCCATAAAATACTGTTCAGTAGGAAAGACAAATGCTTGCAGAAAAAAACGAGCTCCAGCATAACACAGTAGTTACCGCCGGTGTCATAAGATGCATGTGTATTTAGAGAAGGGATTGCTTTTTAACAGTTGTTTTTTTTTAAAAAGAGAGGACTGTGGAGTTGGAACTTAAAAGGTGAGTTGGACAAATAAAGATGGAAGAGACTTTGCTAGAAGTAAAATGTAGACATGAACAAATGTAAGATGTTAATGTTCTTGGCTAATTGGTACAAAGGTAAGAATAAGGCATAGGGCTAATACAGGGTACATGTAGAGAGAGAAGAGAGTAGGTTGAAAATACAATGAGTTTGAACTTAGTAATATGGATTCGCTAAAGGTTTTTGAGAGGCATAGTGAATGCTCTAATCAGTAGTAACTGGCAGGAGGGAGTAAGGTGGATATCATGGAGAGGTGACAGATTGGTCAGGTAGGGCAATAATCTAGGCCAGGAAAGGAGAAGGCATCTGAACCAGGAGCTACCCAGAGAGAGCTCCCCTGCCAATACAGTTTTCAGGAGTTAACCATGGCAAGATATTTGAAGCCTGGGTTTAATGAGAAAGGGTATAGATAAGAACAACTATCTGACAAAAGCATAGGAAAATGCCTTTATTTAAAAGGGAAAGAAAAGCCTCTGTTATTAAGGAGACTGAGGGGAACCACTCAGAGGTGGAAAGTCAGAGTAGTCAATTAGCAAGGAAACTGAAAGAGAAATACCATGCAAGGCACAGTGCTTGTCAGGGGCCTGTGTAGTGGGGTGGGACTGAAGAGAATGGGACTGAAACCTGGATTTGACAAGAGGTCACTTTTAACAGTTTTAATAACAAAACAGTTTAATAAAAGAACAGTTTTAATACAGTGGTAGGGTAGATTTCGATGGATTAGGGAATAAATGGAAAGTGAAATGGTAAATTCTAGAATTGAAGGTAGGTGAGGAGATGGGGGAGATCAGGTGTGAATGTTTTCCAGTCAGCAGCCTACCATCTCTGCCCGAGCTTTAGGTATATACTTACTCTAGATCTTAAGAACACGTTTATGGACTTACAGAATTTCCCTTGCTTATATCTCAGACTTAATACTCAAATAAGAAAGCCATGAATATGGCTGAAATTTTTCTGTTCTCTTTCTCTCTCAGAGCATTCCCTAATTTGGGAGAGAAAAGTTGGGCACAAATAATACTGGATCAATTCTTATTCTCAGAACCCAAATTCAGTACAGTTTAATGCTTTTGTTAACCTATTTTGCATTAATTTCCATATCATATCTAATTTCAGCAATGACCCCTGAAGTTTGGAAGAACAAAAAGAAAAGATAGGTCTGATTTCTAACACAATTTTTTAAATCTCCCTCAAGATTTTTAATATCTACTTGGGGCATCCTTTTCTTTTTTTGAAAGTGGAAGTTTTATAAATTGCAACAGCAGACACACCTCTCTGGACAAACAGCTGGAATTAGCTTATAAATATTATTTAAATTTTTTTTTTTTTTTTTTAAGATTTCACTTATTTATTTGACGGGCGGAGATCACACATAGGCAGAGAGGCAGGCAGAGAGGCAAGCAGAGAGAGAGGGGGAAGCAGGCTCCCCGCCGAGCAGAGAGCCCAATGCGGGGCTCGATCCCAGGACCCTGAGACCACGACCTGAGCCGAAGGCAGAGGCCCAACCCACTGAACCACCCAAGGCGCCCCATTATTTAAAGTTTTAATGGCCATATGACTTCTACTAATATTTTTATTTTTTTAATTGAGTTTTCTACTAATATTTTTAGTAACCAGTCTTATGAATTTTGTTATATGGATATGAAGGTTAAAAATAAAAACAAAAGCATTTTCAGCTGTACGTATTTAGACCTAAAATAAAAATCTGAAAAAAATACCTATTATAAAGAGATGGGTAGGTTTGTATTTTTAATTTAACTCACAAATTATGATTTCTGATAAGACTGCTTTTTTATTAAGTTTCTAAGGGGTTTACTGAAGAAACATCTTAAGAAATATATTGCTATGGACTCTCAAATATCAAAATCATTCAAATGAGGAATACTGAAGTACAGACAAACAGGCCCACTAGCCATCATAAAATACCCAGACCAAAATATAAAGAATTCAGTCTGTGGAGCAGACTATCCCTTGGCAAATGAGAGAGGCCTGTGGCTATCAGAAAAGAAGATACACATGAAAGTTAAGATCCTATTACCAACTAGTATATTTCTTAAATAGCTTTGCAAATTTCAGACCTTTCTATTTGTCGGTTTCTCACAGCATTCCATCAATCTTACTTCTTTGCTATAGATTTGACTTTGGGATATTTATATTCACTGGGGAAAACATTTTCAACCTTACAACATAGATACACTATATTTAAAACACATCCAGTTGCTTCTACCCAATCTTTATGAAATTGTTATGTAAAAGTATCTTACATTCCCAAACTGCTGCTAGTACTGGGAGGATTAAAACAATATGATTTCATCTTCAGGGCATTTACAATCTCATTGCCAAGATAAGCTCCATTCATACAAAACAAAGTATGACCAAGTGCCAAAAGACCTGGTATAAATATTGCATACGAAAAGTTCAATCTTGGTTCAAATAGTAAATAGTGACTAACTTGAAAGATAATTATGCAGACTAAAGGTGGGAGAAAATAGTCTAAGAATGATTACACCTTGACTAACTTAGCCCTGGCAATTATTTTCATTTAATAATAGTTGTTTTTCTCTTTTCAGCTTCATGGTGGATCCTGAACAACTAGATGTTCCTAGACATTTTATGGTTCCAAGTGCAAAACAAGTATTCTTATTGAAAATGTGAATTAGAAAATTCTCTGCAGTTACTAATCTACTCTGTACTTTTGTTTAATATATTTAAGATGTGCACTCTTCTAAAATGTCTTCTCTATCTTTTATGTGAAGTTTACCTAAATTTTTGAAGTTCACTATTCTCAGTCTTTGCTGTTTTGCTACATTGTAACCTAAACCCTTCAGTGGCAGAATCTTAATATGTGAAAAAAAGTATACACATAAAGGAAAAAAATTGTGAAAAAGAAATGATAAAAAATAATTGAAGTGGGAACTTTTAGAGTATCACTTCATAGGATAGCTTTTGTAGATTTGTCATAAACTATCAAGGTTAAATCAGTGTTTTGTCATTTTTAAGTAACTGATTTTCTGTGAAGTTTATTCTTTGGTAGTGCTCACTCCATTACCAATTCATGATCTTGTAAGTATTCACTTTACTGAAAAAGCTAATATGTGACCCAAAATGGTGTCCTTACGTGCAGAGAGAGCGAAAGAAGGTGTACAAAGAAAAGGCCACGTGAGGACACAGTAAGAAGGTACCAACAGCAAGCCAGAAGAGGCCTCAGAAGAACTCAGCCTTGCTAGCACCTTGATCTTGGACTTCCAGGCTCTAGAACTGTGAGAAAATACCTTTCTATTGTTTAAGCTAAAAAAAAAAAAAAAAAAGTTAATACATGAGCATACAATAATAGTCTTGGCTGTAATCTATAGACTCTATATACCTATCCTGTTATAAACTGGTTTTTCACACGTGAACAATTCTGTGATAGTTAGGGTACCATTTGGTACTGTAACACCATTATATCATTTATTATAGCATCATAATTATATGTAAGTTCAACAAATCAAAAAAAATAGAATTTTACTTTGAGAAAATTTGATTCAAATTTTTTGACATATGAGCCAGAGGACTAATTTACTTCTGGAAAATAGACATTTGCATTTAAATAATAATTTCAAATATTTAAATAATAAAATTTTAACCTAAGTAAATGAAGAAATACAAAACAAGCACAAAATTTTAAGAGCATTCCCTCTTCCCAGGGAAGATACTGGACAGAAAACCTTTTCCAGTTTTAACACTAGAATGACAATTCTAATTTCACCAGAACAGTTGGTGTGTTCTGTGTACCTAGTACACTTTGCTATACAGGCTCATATAGTTTTAATAAAATCTATTCTGATAAATGCTGCTAATAAAAATCCAGTGCACATTAAGTCTGTTTCTCTGTTATTCTATAATCCAAATTCCTTTGAAACCACAGGTCTTCAAGGAAAAACTGTAAGGCAATTTTTTTTTTTACTGTTGGAAAATTCAGATTAAACTAAATTATATTTTTAAATATAAAATTTGACCTAAAATTTTCTCAAACGAATTAGCTTCTATCAAAGTTATACCTTTGTATACGCCTCAGTCCTCGTCCATCTAAGTAATTTTTTTCATAACTTCTACAAGACAAGGGCAGTAAATTTTGACATATACACACATACACACAGACACACAAATGTGTGTGTGTCTGTGTGTGTGTATATACACACACACACACATACACATATATATAGTCATTTCTAAAGATGACAAACACTATGAAACAACACCTGGCTCAACTCTTTTAATTTATATACAAAGCAGAGAACATTAATGGAGATGTACAATGATTACTCAAACAAGCTATACATATGTACAAAGGCAAACAGATAATAAAACAGACTTTGCAGTCTCACTCTGATTATATACAGTGACTTTTGACATAAAACTCCTTAAAAAGGTTGGTTATGAATGGTTTCAAAAAATACAAATTATAGCCAATCAAAACATATTTCAGTATTATATTCAGAAAGTACCTAAGTCTTTTAAGTGTGAGGCAGTTTGCAAAGTACCATGGTAGTATGACTTTAAAAAGGTTTCTGCCCGGGGCACCTGGGTGGCTCAGTGGGTTAAGCCTCTGCCTTCAGCTCAGGTCATGATCTCAGGGTCCTGGGATCGAGCCCCGCATCGGGCTCTCTGCTCAGCAGGGAGCCTGCTTCCTCCTCTCTCTGCCTGCCTCTCTGCCTACTTGTGATCTCTCTCTCTCTCTCTGTCAAATAAATAAATAAAATTAAAAAAAAAAGAAGAACCTGGACACACACCAAAATTAGAGAAGGTAAAATTTAAAAAAAAAAAAAAAAAAAAAAGGTTTCTGCCCTCAGTAACAGTGCTGAGCGGAAGAGCTCTTTAGATTCCAAACTAGAATAAGTTCTATTACCATTTTTTTTAACTAGAGTCAAAAAAAAAAAAAAAAAAAAAAAAACCTTTGAGAACAAGCAAATAATAAACCAATTTAATTATGGCAATACTGACCTCAGCTCTTATACAAATTATACATAAATTGTTATGTGTGTGTGTGTTGTGTTTATGTATATACACACTGGAACCTATAATAATATAAAGGGAAAATAGGACAAAAAATAAATCTGGGCCCTAGAGGTTTAAATGTATCATTTTTAAGTAACCCGGAAATTTATGGTTTTAGCGTATTTTTTCTCCCCTGGGGAGCGAAGTAATGAAAAGTAGTGTACTAAAAGACCAAGATGGGAAGCCTACCATGGACTAAAGCTTGAATCCAGGTAAAAACCCCAAAGACCAGTGAAGAAAAAGGTACTGGTTTTAGGAGTTCAGAATTCAGTTTATGATAAACTTTCTGCCAAATGAGGGTCTTGAATGCCTTGCCCGTAGACCTGGGGATTTCTGAGAATAGAATTAGGGAGGGTTTACACTTACCTTTGTATCAGCAATTTTTTTTGACACTTTGCTGGAAGAAACTCTTTTTTTCAATAGTAACGTCCAGAGTGACAAAATGCAGGAGATTATATAAAATTTCTAGGAGCTAAAATCTTAGCCCCCAAATTCTTCATCCATACATGTTCTTGTCATAAGAAATTAAAGAATTGAAACTTAATGTACCTCAATTACTTGCAAATGCCTAAATCTTTCCTCTTTTGGAAAAAAAAAAATCAGTATTAATTTGCAATTGCCTAACTTCTTATGTTCATGGAGTCTGATTAGAGACAAGTAGCAGCTGTTTTTCACCTTGAATTTCATTGTTTCCAAATTGTCAATCTCTGCTAGTAATCATGAATATTGAACAATTTTATCAAAAACTTAGAGACCAAAGAAATGCCTGTTAAAATATTCTCCTTCCTGTCATTGAGAACTATGCATTGACATCCTGGGTCATTTTAAGCCTCTGGAGAGATTGTAAAGATCCTTTCAGAGTGCTGGTATGAAATTAGTGGAAAACAGAACAAAAGCCAACTTTAGAAGCAACAAGAAATTATATACCATATATACATCATAGCAAATACTTTATATTTGAGAATCTTTACAGCTTACATTTCCATTCCATTATTACAAGAGATGAAAAACAAAAAATTGCAAGTAGCATGCAAATTATAAATACAGCCTTCCCTACTAACCAAATTCTTTCTTTCCAGTGTTACTTCCCAATTTATGCAGGAAACTGCCTGCAAAGCTGAAACTGATTAGAAAATTCTTTATAGTTTAAAATATTTCTCATTTTAGGAGAAACCAAATACCCAACCATCAAAATTAAAAATAAACTGAATTGTCACAGTCCATTACAGTTATTGTTACTAGATCCACTTCATTTGCAGGTGTCCAAAATAGAAAACAAATAATTCTTTATCTTCAAATTCATTTGTTCTTAAAATGCTACTTAAAACTTTGGTGGTTTTCCTGTAACATAGAAGAAAAAGTTACAGTTTTTACTACTTAGTTTATCAAACCAAATACTGTGATTCTATTAAGTGTTTACAGATCTTAAATGCATGTTACTATACAAAGTATTAAAGTAACTGGAATTTGTCAAAACAGTTCTATGTTTAAAAAAATATGTAATTCATTTTTAAATATATTAGATCGTATTCCAAACCTATTCTGTTTTTGTGGTACCTGGCTTGTTCAAAATAATGTGTCTGTCTAAATTTTATTTACAAAATAAAATATTAGAGATGAAATAGGTGTGCAAATGAAAAAAATGACCATATTTTATATAGCATTCAAGTTTAGATTTATTCATACATATGCCTACGATTTTTTTTCTGAACAGGTGGGATAATTTGAACATTAAGAACATTTCTCATGATAAAATATTCCTGTGTGCAAGGTATTATGAAAAAAACTTAAATTTTTGACTGAACTGACTATAGTTCTACAAGTTTGGAATTTTAAAAAGAGGCTTTGTATTCCAAATGGTTGGAAAGCACAGGAGAGGTTATATTTCCCATATGAGCCATTCTCAGCATACTTATATTTTGAGTTCATCTCAATAGAATATTTTTACCCATATAAAAAAGATTGTGAAAACTTTGAAGTCAACCTCATCTGCAATCACAAAACTAAGGTTTCAAGGTTAACTGACTTAAGTTTGAACAGTGTACTAATGCACAAGGTGAAGCTACAATTTGAACTCAAGTCTGATACCAACACTCCTGTCGTTTCCAATCAATGTGCTGAAAGATAGGTGTATTTAATTTATTTTGATGAAATCTGATGCAGTGACACAAATATAAGACACTAAGAACAGCAAAAACACACTGAAGAATAAGTGGGGTGACTTGTTTTACTATATAAAAAGATAAAGAGTAAGGGCCTAGAAACACACCACACATATATTGCCACAAGGGTAGCAGAGGGCTGTTCTTTGAGTAAATATTGCTAGGATGACTGGATATCCATGTAGAAAAAAATAAAACTTGACCCCTACTTTACATCATAAAGTAAGATCAACTGCAGATGGATTACTTAAAAATAATAGAATTTTTAGGCTCCTTATCTTTCAATGCAAAAAATATTTCTTAAAATATAATTCCATTCTATTTCTTGGGCAGAGTGGTAATTACTTACAGTAATTAGTTATACATGTAATGAAAATTTAGAACGGGAAATTAGAGAATCGATTCCATTTACTATAGCACCAAGAACCATAAGACACCTTGGAATAAATATAACCAAGAGGTAAAGGACCTGGATTCAGCGAACTACAGAACACTCATGAAAGAAATTAAAGAAGACACCAAAAGATGTAAAAGCATTCCATGCTCATGGATCAGAAGAATAAACATTGTTAAAATGTCTATACTGCCCAGCACAATCTATACTTTCAATGCCATCCCGATCAAAATTCTACCAGCATTTTTCAAAGTCCTAGAATGAACAATCCTAAAATTTGTATGGAACCAGAAAAGACACTGAACTGCTAAGGAAATGTTGAAAAAGAAAAACAAAGCTGGGATTATATTATACATTTGGGATTTATGGGCTTTTCTGAATTATATTCCACAATAAAATTAAAAATCTAGGGAAAGAATCCAGTGAAAATACTAAAGACAAATATTTTAGAATTAATATAAAATTAGGAAACTACTTACTGGTTTTTGAAGTACAATGGGATGATCAGGCAGAAAGTCTGGTTTTTTTCTGCAGATGGAAACGCTTGAGAGCTTCAACAGGAAATCTCTGCTGTATTTAATTCTCTCTGTAGATATTAAACATCAGATATAATTTTATAAAATAACTCTCCCAGAACACTTTTTGGCTCACTGTTTTCTGAATGTCCCTTAATAATCCATTATTTTATAAAATGATG